GTAGAAGATATCACCAGTTTTCCGTTTCTGTACTCAGGATCTTTGTTGTTCATCAGATGATAGGAAAGAGCAGAGACAACGATCTCTTCAATGTAATTGCTTAAAACCTTTGTATCCTCAAAAGAGATCGATTCGAGGTCATCGCATATAAGATCATTCTCCGACAGAACTTCCATTATATGGTTCCTATTATCCTGAGTTTGGATCATGTTCATGTCGCGTTCAAGCTGCGATTTCCAGCTTACTAGATGAGTCTCATCCTCAGGCGGTCTTATGTCAATATTATAAGGGAAAACAGCAGAGAGCTTCTCATCAATTTCTTGAGCGTCTTCACTCGACAAGTCAACGATTCTTGAACCGAGAATGAGGACCGGTCCACTGAGTTTCTGGAGAAGCTTTTGGAACAAGTTGTAAGTTCTCTGTGAGCGGAACAGAAAGTTCTCGACGTCTCGAAGATATAACACAATCGGATTCGCCTTGGAGACATAGGCCAAGACCTACATTTCACATTTCCAAGATCTTCATAAACAAGATTCAAACAACCTAAATGCATAGTTTTACTCTTATAGGTTTATACATTACCTTATATAAAGATTGGATGAGAAGCTTTTCATCGAATGACCAACTGCTACTACGCTTCAAAGGCGCTGAAACTAAGATCAAATATTAGTCGATTCGTCTGAATGAATAAAGATTTAAAGTTTCAATTTTATTTGTTGAGATGCATATAATAATTAACCTTGATTTGATGAAGATGCAAGGTTGCTAATATTAGCTGCTGCTGAAGAGTTTCGACGAAGCTTTGGAGGATTACTAGAGCCTTCCATTGAACTGCATATATAGATCACGGATCACAGGGTAAACAATAACATTAAGCATTAGTTTGATTGCAAAGCATTGACGGATATTGCAATTGCTTAAAATTTGAAGTAAAGGACAACTAAACACAACCTTGATTTGATATCCACACCACTGCTTTGCCTCCTCAAGGTGCCACCAGCTGAACAGATTCATCAACAAACAATGTTAATATTAGTCATAACACCGATGAAAATCCGAACTAGAAGCCTACTACTTGCCACCAAGTCGATTACTCGGTTAAGCAGAGCAAATTTAACATTTGACCAGGAAAATTTTTGATTTACCTTTTGACTCTTCTCTCTGAGGAAGGATGGAGAAGGAACTAAACAGTCCTGATAGTTGCTCTAAAGCAGATTCTGAGGGAGATCTCTTGAATGACTAAAACAATCGGGAAAACAAAAAACGGATTTCCGATATAGATCATTTACAAGAAACCAGAAACAATTGGTGAGACGAAATCAGTAAACCGTTTACCGATGATTCTGTATTTCCACTGCCATATTTGCTCTGTATCTGCAAACACAATAAAGAAGATTTAAGGTTCACGATAAGAAAGACTCACAGTAACAAACAGAGCTCAATGTTTATGTTTAGGATTTTAGAAACCTTGAGTGCAAAATCGTTGACGTCTAGAAGAAGTAACTTGGCGTCAAAGAAATGAGCTAGGGCTTTGGCTAGCATTTGTTGGTAAAGCTCTGCAAAGAAACATATTAAGATTCAAAACACAAACGAATTGATTCAAGATCAAGATCGGATCATCGGAATCTAACCGGCAGGGCCGGACAAGAGAATGGCTCGGCTAGCTGGAGACAAGTTTCTCGTATATTTCGAGGCATCAAAGTGCTTCAAATGGACATAAGCTGCACTTGTTAGAAGCACTCGTGTTTGTTCACTGCACAATCCCAAAAAGGCAAAAACATTGATGAACAAAAATTACATGTAATGTTGTATCGGTGTATGTGTATGTTTCAGACATCGAAAAGAATAAATCCAAACATTTTGGGATAAAGATCGGGAACAAGATCTAAATGATAGTGACACGTGTCGGAATAATAAAAAACAATGAGATCATTCTCGGCGTATATAAACAGAAATTCACATGCTTCACCTTTTATTACCACTCCAACTATTAATATCTTATCCGTTTTTGTAAAACTACATTTAATTTCTATATTCTTCTCACTTGTATTATCGTCTTATCGTCTTGAAATTCGTAAACTATAAACTAAAAGTGACAATCAAAAACATAAATATAATTTCATCACAAGATTTATTTTAAGAACCTAATTAGAATTGATAGATCTTAAAAGTCTAGTTGAATTTCAAAAGGAAACAAAAAATTTAAAAATTACCTGAGATAATAAGGAAACTCATCGAATGTAATTTTACTCTCTCTGCCGTCAACAACTTGACGAAGTATCTCTTTCTCCATCTTATCCGCCGTGACGGCGTTACTTGACGATGAGTTCCCGCCGGCCCATTTTCCGACGGCTTGACCCGAAGCCAAGCCCAAACCCACACCGACTCCAACTCCGACGCCGAGCGCCGATAACAACATCTGTTTGCTATCCATTTGATCTTCCAAAAACAAAATCTTTTAACAAAAACTAAAAAAAAAAGAGTATTAGTATTAATTGATATATAGATCAAGATCTATACCATAGATCATATAAGTCGCAACAATAATAAAAATGGTATGAAAACAACCAAAAGATGTTGTTTTATCTCTTATAATTTCAGTTTAACCTAACTTATTCGATAATCTAACAGAAAATGCTTTTGATTTTAATATTTTCGACCGTTTTTTCTCTGTTGATAAGACAAACTGAAACTTTCGAAGTATTTTCAAAGATTTAACAAGCAAAATATATACCTTGTTCTGTAAGATATCTCTCTTAAATCTTTTCTTTCTGCAGTTTCTTTCTCTGATTTTGGTCCTAACGATTCAATAGTCTGAAAAATCACAGAGAGTAGTGAGAACCGTGAAAACCAGATCTATTTACACGTCATCACCGGTTTTGAAAATGAGGCAAAGACGGCGGCGGATATGAGAGATTTAGGGTTTTTTTATAAAGATTTTTTTGATCGCTCCTCTGTTTTTTTATGTTATATGAGATGATGAGTGTTAGGGCATCATCAATGGGGGATCATGTGAGGGTGTTCTTATAGAGAATATAATGTTAAAATAATGTAAGATCATGTGTTTAGATCTTTTGTTTAGAAGTTGATTAGTGGGAGAACATGTGTAAGATCTTAAGACTTAATAATATAATAATCTAAATTAAATTAAGATTTTACAATTATTAAAACATTTAAAAATAACATATAAATTGCAAATGCCAAATTTATGAAAAACTGAAAATAAAAGTGAAAATACAATACTAAATATTTATGAAAAAAACATTAAAAATATAAATAACAATAAACAAACAAACATATTACTTAATAAAAGCACAAAAACATTTTATCTAATTAATACATAGTTTATTATCCAAATTTATTCCAAATATGTTGAATATTCCAACCAATGCCCAAATGCCACGTCACCCCGCAACACCCACAAGAACAGATCCAGGTCAAGAGCCCAGTTCCTGATCTTAAGCCCATTAACCCATTTTTTTGGATTTAAATAATGCTTAGATCAGGGGGGGTGATCCCCCAATGCAGATGGTCTTACATTCACAGGAAAATTGATGAGTCATTACAGAGACTTTGCTTACGTGTTGTTATATAAACGGCTACTAGGTTGGTTTTTTGGCAGTTTTTAATTCGATGTTCCCGCTATTTTACTCTAATACCCTTTAATTTTAGTTTCTTTAATTTATTCCTCGATACTTTCGTCATTGTCATTCTAGTCCAGGTTTAATTGTACTATTCCGGTAAATGTAACTCTCAACGTTGCTATTCAAGAAATATCATCTCAGGCTAACAAGAATTTTCAAAATATGTTGTTTAAATGATGTAAAAATACATAGATGATGGCACAAAATTAGATAGAAAGGAAAAAATGCCACAACTACACATAGAAGATGGCACAAAATTAAATACAAAGGGAAAATGTAAATAATAAAATAAAAGCATGACTGTTAGATCTGGAAGGCGTGGCTTCATTTAAAGCCGTTGGATTTCATAATAAGATCCCACGTAAGGGAACAAGTTGACGGCTTAGATCGAAAGGTATGGCTTCTCCTGTCTTCGCAGAATCATAGGCATTATTATTATTAAACAAATTGCAATCTTTTGGTCTAATGATATTTTTGTTAGAGCATCCGCAGTGGTGTATCCTTGTGTGGGGTGTATCTATTTTAAAATACAGAAATAATGCAAAAGTTGTTTCTCTCTTCACACCCGAGTGTAAGTTTACACTCGGGTGTAAGACACTCTATCTCTCTCTCTCTTTCTTTCTCTCTCTCTTTTCTCTCTCACTTTAAATTATAATAATAAAAAAATCTTACACCCCTCCCTCACACTTGCACCACTGCGGATGGTCTTAGTGATTGAATGGGCTTTTTGTTTTGGACCTTTTGGTCCTCTAAAGAAAAATGAATCTTCAAGTCATATACACTATATGGTTTATTGAAATTTGTATGGGCCAATCTTTGGATGTTTTATAGGAAAAAGCATATGTAGCAGTAGTACTATAGCTTGTGAAAATAATACATACACTTTGGTGACCAGAAAAAGAGTCTGAAGATTGGTATGGATATTGAAAATTATAAGACTAGTTATACTATAAACGTTTACTTAGAACAAAAAGTCAGGATGGCCGAGTGGTCTAAGGCGCCAGACTCAAGTTCTGGTCTTCGAAAGAGGGCGTGGGTTCAAATCCCACTTCTGACATTATTTTTTATTGATAAGAAATTAAGTTGATAAAGAAAAATTAGCTATTTAAATTTGGTCGGTTCAAGTTGATTGATAAATTTGGTCCGCTTAATTTATTCGTCCATCCAAGTGTTGCCTTGATTAGGTGAAGCAGAGAATGCAAATGGCCAACGAATTTTGTTAAATCTAGATAAATGGCACATCTGCTAAAAAGTTCGAAGGGGAAATATTAAGTGGAGTGATTATTGTTCATAAAAATTAATGCAATAATTTACAAAAACATTTGGCTATATAAACATGCATGCTACATTGAGATCAAGATCATTATTTATAAAACTCACAAAAGGCAAACATCAAGTAGGCTAGAGAAATGTCATTGAGACGACTTTGTGAGATGCAGTTTCTGTTTTCGCTTCCACCAAAACAATTCTGGGATAGTTTTTTCTACCATATGACTCTGATATCTAATAAGATCCCTGCAGGTATATATATATATATTTATTATAACTCTCATCTTATTCATATGTTTTGTTCATAACTCTCATAATTGTTTATGTTGGTTGAGTCGAGTGGCAACGACACCACATGACCATTGAGTCAGTAGATCACGAAACGAAAAGCATGAGGCAACGGTTTACCTTCCCTGAATTCTTTGAAGGCTATAGGCTGATTACATCAACTACAAAAGTTAACGATTCGGCAATCGGCTTGAATAGCCGCGTCGATATCAGCGTGGAGTACGATAAGACTGGCCCTGAGATCAAAGACCTTGACGAAGTCCAATTCCTTGTGAACTATATCAATGAGATGGTTGCTCGTACTGGTGGTCAGCTCCTACTACGTCTTAAGTAATGGTCCCGTGGGACGTAAAATCGATCCAAACTATAAATTATAAGGGTTCGTCTTGTCTATAGAATAAAGGTATCTCTAAGAAGATAAAATAGATGGAACCTCGCCCCCACAATATATATGTAATGCATGTATCTACGGTTATGTCCCAGGAGTTGTTGCACTATCCAATTTAATATATAGCTACATATTAAGACTATATGAGAGTGATTCAACGTAACTGCTAAAAACAGACACTGCCATAGACCATAGTTACTTTTTAACGGCATCGTTTCTAAACTAGCCGTTTGTCATCAAAATCACGTCAGCGTGACGCCAACAAACCTGGCCCAACGCTAAACCGATGACAAAATTGCCCTTAACCGATGAAAATGCAATTTGCAAACAGAAGACATGAGTTTTATTATTATCATCATCATCATAAGACTGTTTTTGACAATGTTCACAGGTGGGCTTTTACCTGTATAATTCACATCACAATAACCATTTGCTTCGACCCTTAATTCAATATCTACAAGACAAATAGGACACAGACTTTGGATCCTTTTTTTGACTCTCTAAGCAAACCTAAAACTAGAACAAAGACAGACTCTTTCATAAAACTCCACACGCGTTGAATTGAAGACTGGAACCGAACTGAAGACAACTTACATCCACCTCTTTGGCCCATTGGTAGAGCCAGAGCCACCGTCTCTACCCAACATCGCCATCATTAAACTTCCACCATGGACTCTTCCTTCCGGAGCTAACCCCAATCCTGCTTCATACTCATTGAGATCAACATCAGTCTCTGGAGATCCGGTAGCACTTCTCGCTTTCATTGTATCCATGTTCATGTCTTGAGAACCGCTAAACTCTTCCTCGTTCTCTGTTTCGCTGCTGCTTACTCTCGGTTCTTGGCTCTCGGAAGTTATAGTCATTCCTCCGTGAACCCGGTTATCATGAACCAGACTGTTATGGAGTGCACAAAGACCAGTCTTACCTCGAGCAAACGAGGTACAAGGACCAGAGGAAGACTGTCCTGCATACTCTGTCTCGGGTTGACCCCACGCACACCGTTTCCCTCCTCCATGTGCTTTGCAAAAGTCAGTACTACCTTGAGCACTTTTGCCACATCCTTCAGACTTACATCTCTTTCCTCCACCATGTCTGACACAGAAATCAGTCCTTCCTCTAGCACTCTTGGTGCATTCGGGAACCGCACATCTCTTTCCACCGCCATGTGCAACACAGAAATTGGTACCTCCGTGAACACTCTTGGAGCAAGGATCATCTCCTTGAAAGGCACATCTTTTACCTCCTCCATGTCCTTTACAGAACGGCGTGCTTCCTTCTGCACCTTTGGTGCAACCCGAGTGTGTACACCGTTTACCTCCACCGTGTGCCTTGCAGAACATTGTGCTCCCTTGCGCTCCTTTTGTGCATCCATTAGATTGACATCGCCGACCACCACCATGAGAGATGCAGAGTCCCGAAAGGCCTTCAGCGCTTTTAGTGCAGTTTTCTCTTTGGCATCTCTTTCCTCCACCGTGCCTGATACAGAGTCCTGACCTTCCCCTAGCAGCTCGTGTGCAATCTTCATGGCTGCATCTTCGACCACCTCCATGGGCTATACAAAAGTCAGTACGGCCTTCTGCACTTTTGGTGCATCCGAGAAATTCACATCGACGACCACCTCCATGGGCTTTACAGTACACAGTTCGACCTTCAGCGCCCTTGTGGCAACCATGTTTCTGGCATCTACGTCCACCACCATGAGAAATGCAACGGCCAGATGCGCCTCTTGCTCCCTTCTGACATCCTTCTACTTGACATAACTTGGAACTAGAAGAATTCTTAAGCTGTGGCTTCAGCTGCTGAGATAAACCGGAAGTGCATGTACCCGAGCTTATTGGTGTTGTTGCTGCCGTGCTAGATGACAGTTTGGGAACATGAGCAGCAGGAATGATGACATTTTTGGGAACATGGCCTAAGAAGGAGCTTGTTTCTTTGCTTGAAGAGGCTTGCAATGTCGGTAATCCAAACCCTGGCCTCCAACCACATGATGTGGATTCTTCATTAGTTGCACGCAGCATGTCAGCAAGAGATTGAAATCGGTTGGCGTGCTGCTGGACCGCAGTGATCTCAGATTGACAGGATCCTCCACCAGAAAGACTCAATTCAAGATCAAATTTCGGGGAGGGGACCTGCAACCCTTTCATTTTCAAATTAGCTGGCTTTTTGTTGCTAGCCGCCGATTTCTCGTTGCCAAGATGGAGGCTAAAGTCCAACTCAATATCCATCGAGGACGCCTCTTCAGTTTCTTTGGCAGAAGATAAACTCGTGCAAGCAGTAGCCGAACTCCCTTTGCTATCAGAAGAGCTTGAAGAGTGACCGAGTCTTAAGGAAAGTAAAGGATCAGATCCATCAATCAGATTCCATTTCCTTTTGATTCCCTTGGCATTAGACAACGGAGAGGCAAGGGAATCAAGACGCAGAGTAGTATCCGCGGCCTCAGGGACTTCAACTTGAAGGGAACGGCCCAAAATGTTAAAAGAATTCGATGAGGAATTACCAGCAAAAGCACTGTTCTGGAATCTGGAATGCATGCTCACAACTAAAAATGAAAACTTTCGTCAAGAACACCAAAAGCAAAGACGCGAAGCCAAGACCACAACAACTTCCGGGTTAAGAGAATAAGCCACAGCTCTAATAAGAGTTAAAAGACCTTATAAGCATCTCCACCGCCGCTTACAAATCCTGAGGTATCGCAACGATCCATCTTCGAATAAAGTTGAAAGCAAATCTAGCACAGCTGATTCGAAAGTCGCTCACAAACCAAAGTTAATTCTTCTCAAACTTCACACATGGATTACGGTAGCAGCTAACCATCCTGCTTCATATAACAGATTATAAACAAGTTAGTGGCAAATTCATTGCAAGTAAACTACAATAGAGCAGTGAGAAATCCAATTGGGTTACCAAATCTACAGAACACAGAACCTGAAATCATTACCACCTCAAAAACCACATAGTTTAGGACAAAAACATAAACTTAGATTCAAAAACAGAACTGTTTAATTCGTTAGTCAACCTCAACGTTCATGAAACAAAACAAGAGATCTAATAAACAGATTAAAAAAAATTAAGAATTTTCCTGAAAGAGATACACCACTAATGATGGATTATTCATCTATTTGGTTCCATGAAAATATTAGATTAAGAGAGCTAAATCAAAACAGAAGAAACCCAAACCAGGGTACCCCAAAAGCTTGAGTCTTTCTAGATTAAACCGACACAAAATTCAGGAATTTATTAAAAATAAATGAAACAGAACAAGGAAACAAAACAACGAGAATAAACAGAATTATTCAATTTCCCAGACATCGATCTCAGAGACATATTTTTTTTTAATCTAAAAAAAAGAAGTCAATTTCTCTGAATTTCTCATGAAAACAAAACATGCAAATTCAACCGAAGAATAAGAAAAACGAAGAATGAATTTACCTCAATTTTGAATCTGATTACGAGATTTTCACGGCATCGAATGATAAAATCAAATCGCGATTCTTAATCTCTCTCTCAATCAGCGAAATTGAGTACTTACAAATAATTGTTTGTTTTTGGGTGTGATTGGAAAATCTAGGGATTTGCAGCGCCGGCGAGAGAGAATGAGAGAGGTATAAATAGGAGATGAGAAAGAGAGAGAGAGAGGCTCTTTTTTTTGAAGGGAGTGGAAATGATCGAATCTGAAAGAAGAGGTGTGGAGGAAAAAAAACAAGGGTAAGAAGACTGGTTTGCCACACGTGCCATCAGAATCTTTGGCACGTGCCACTTATATACCCTTTTTATTATGTTTTTGTATTGATCAATGTATGTATTGATAATTGATCAATGTATGTTGTATGTACAAACACATTAAAATAGAGCTCACCAAAAAAAAAAAACACATTAAAATAGAGAAAATTATTCAAATAATTCATCTTTAAGCACCAGCTACATTTGATTTTAAAAAATAAGTACCTGTCAAAACATGATATGTCCTCCACTTTCCTCATTATCAATTTTTTTTTTTGTGGTAGGATTCCTCATTATCAAATTTATTCTACCATATATTTATATTAATTTTGATTAATAATTTTTTTTGGTCGATAACATGTAGTGTACTCTGTGGTGCAGATTTGAGTACAGATAATGGTATTAGTATAACGTATTATATAGTTTGGTCAAATATCAGATGTTTTTAATTTTGTCATCTCTAATATTAGATGATTTTTAGTTTTAAGGTAGGATTAATATTTTTCTGTAATTTTTTTATTTCCGAAATATATATAACTAATTAATAGAAACAATGGTAGATCTGTAATTGCATACAAGTTTGTTCTTCTAATATTGGAAATAATGAATAATCTATGTAATAATTTGAAGGATAATGGTATCCCTATCACACATGTGAATTTAAAAAGAACTTAAATTGTTTTTAATCTTTTTCTTTTTAGCTGAATAATCATAACCCATCTATTTAAATGGAACGGGTTGAAAAGATTAACATATGAATTTTTTCTTTTAAACAAAAAAAAATATTTAATACTTTGCTTGTGATTAAGAGTTTAATTTTTAACCCAAAAAAAAAGATTATGGGTTTAAACGAAACCGAGATTGTGGCGGTTGCTAGCGTCAGCAAAGAAAAACGAAGGGGGTAATTGGGTGCGTGGCGGCTGAAGCAGCAGCGGCTCGTCACCGTTCAATTTGGTTCTATGATTATGACTGTGGTCCCTACATGCCTCTTTTGTGGGTCCCGCACGATTCCCCTCGGGAAGGTCTTCTACGAATCTACGACAGCGTATTTTTTGCGATTTTTATTTTCTAATACAAAAAATATAAAGCGATGTCGTTTCTTCGTTTTTTTTTGGATATCACTGTCCGAAATAGAAAACCAAGAAAAGGGTCCACGTACGATAAAAGAGTGGTTCACGTTTGCAATTGCAATTTCATTAGATTTTGTTTTACTTTTTCTAGGTCAATTGTATTATTTATATTCTCTAATTCCTTTTTTAGATTTTTATCTGCTTAAAAACTAGTATTCAATTTCGTAAAACCACGTTAGATATCGTTTTTCATCCATTTATATGTCAGGTAAATAACAGCTTTGCGTATTTCAACATGCAACGAAATTTTCCACAACTTTAAAATCAAATCATTACCAAAATACAGTAAATAAAAAAAACAGTAAATATTAAATTAAATGTGTATGTTGTAGAAGAAATGAATATTTCTGATGATAACGGTTGAAGTTTATGTTACTATGATATATTTATTATTTATGAAGAACAAAAAAAAAAGCTCCAATATAGGTGTATAAAAGTTATTATTAAGCAAGATATTTCGATCAATTAATTTTACAATATCTCCAAACTACTATTTAATATTTATGTAGGTGCATGCTTATTTTGCAAAAAAATTAGCTTTTCTTCTGATCCTTCTTTTACAAAATTACACATTGCTTAACATTGAAACCAAAAAAATTTACACCTTGCTAAGAAAGAAAGGAGACGGTAATTATCTTCCTATTTCTCATGTCGGTTCAACAACTCATTTAGGACATAAAACGTTTTCATATAATTTATTTCACATGCACGATTATAGTATTTAAATACACCTTTATACATGAAGAATAAAAAAAAGAATATGCTCTACCATGTTCAACCTCTTTATATTCTTTCCACTCCCGAACACGTGTTATGTTTGGACGCATCTTTCAAAACATAACATTACCTATTTTGACATCTAAGTAAATTGTGACCACTAAAAACCAAATGTGTAATATAGTAAACGAATACGAATGAAAACTGTAAATCCACATTATCATTTGCAGAAAAACAGTGGAAACAAACAATATACTAAAATTTTGCAAATTAAACTTGAATTTGTTTATACAAGAAGGCAAAGAAAAAATATTTTTCGGTACTTACGTAACGATCTCAGCCACCGTCACAGCAGCAAACACGAGAAACAGAACTCCTCCGACATAAGCAATAGCCTGTTTCGAACCAAACAACATTTAAACATTTCCGTCTTAAGAACACACTCTCTCTCTCCCATACTTACTACTATTTCAAAGAGTTATGCAAATAATAATCTAAATTTTAGATCAAAACTAGAAAAAAGGTCTTAAAAAAATAAAATGGTCTTAAATCTTTATAAATTAAAAAAAAAAAAAATCTAAATTCTGAACTCTGGAGTCTAAATTCTAAAACCTACTATATACCTCAAGTCATACAAACTAAAATCAAAACCCTAACCCCTAAACATAGATCATGAACCTTAAAACCTAAACAAAATTATCTATACTTGTGATTTAAGAAAATTTCCCCGGCTAATTTCATTAGTCTGGGAATAATAACGCGTTGTTGACAGATTGGATCGGACATATGAAAGAATAAAAACAATAAAAGATGTTATTTTGACTCTTTTTTGGAGAGGAATAGATACCAAGTGATGTGGAAGACTAGAGATCAATGAACACAGAAGCTTGTTTTTGCCACTTGCCCACAGAATAAATAAATTTTAATCTCTCACTTTTCTTTCTATCAAGTTCAATCTCAGAACACAATACGAGATTAAAAAAGAGATCCTTTGACTAATTAAAACAAAACTCAAAAGGTGGTTTTGAACTTTACTAAAAAACTAGGACAAAAGCTAGTAAATTGCCATTAGAATCTGGTTTTTGTGTAATAAAAGCTGAATATATCCTAGGATATGCTGGCATTTAGTATATTCACCCTACATTTCATGATAATTTAAGGACATGGATTTGTTTCATTTTTAAATATTATTTTTCTACTTTTTAATGCAACCATTAAAGTTTTATTCTTCTTAACCTTTTATTTGGTCAGGAATCAAAATTTATTCTTCGTAATCTTAGTATTAACTTAAATGCTAGCTAAGACGTGTAGGAAAAATCTAAACCTGACACTATAATGAAAAAAGGAGTATTCTTCAAGTGCTGTGAAAAAATTGAATTGATCTATATATATGTAACTATGTATATAGTTGTCTATGTGTATATAGAGATAATGGAATTTACCTTCTCTGATAAGAAATTTCCGAGCAAAGAACCTCCCAATACCGCAAGCTGCGATTAACAAACCAAGCTGCAAGTTAGAGTTCTTGTGTCTCCCAAGTTTCAGGAGAATTGAAAAAATCTTCTCTTTGGTGGGGTTTTAAGTCTTAATATTGCTTAAAGATGCTTTAGATTAGCCCAGTTGCTAGGATCTTTAAAGTGTTCACATAAAAGTTTCAATCAAAAGACAAAGAACTCACCAGAGTCGCAGCACCGTGACCCGCCAATGCTCCAGCGATGACACCCAATGGCGATGATGCAGCCGCAAGAGCTTCAAAGAATTAATAGATTATATACAGTTTTGGAGTTTTAGACCTGAGGTTTTGATTTATCATGAAAGTTGAAACTTCTTTTGTGTCTCACCAATTGTTGAGAAGAAGGATTTGTCACCCCATTCCGCAACAAAAACCAATGCGAAAGTGCTGATGATAGTGTTCGCGGCTGCTACTATCCCGGCTCCACTACCTGAAAGCTCTGAAACCGCTAGTTCTGCCTGTAGAAAATAAGTAAAAAGATATTGACATCTTGAAGGTTGCATGGAAATATAAAAATGAAAGGCTAAAGAAGTTTTACTTCTTTCTGTTCTTCTTCAGCTTTACCCTCGTCTGAAACAGCGTCTAATAACGTTGAAACACCGAAGTAAACCTAAATAAATGTAACAAAAGTGGTTAATACTGTTCCATGGTTATGACTAGGCCTGTATAATATGATACAACCCAAACTGAACCAAAAACCAGGCTTGAAAACCAATCAACACCTTCATTTGGTTAATGAAGTTACTTTTTCTACATAAAAATCCAAACCTAATAGAGCCTGAAGCTTGTGAACTTCATTAAAAAAATTACACCCTTCGAATCGAAAGCCGAACCGGAACCAAAACCAAACTCATAACAAAATGGCCAGAACTACATTTGGTTTCACTTTGGTAGATATCATATACTTAGGAAGATATACTCGCTAGACATAAAAAAAAAAGGGTCCAAACCAAGCACCCCTGGTTAGTACAGCTCTGCTCAGAAAGGTGAATAAAGAGATTTACCAGAAGACAAACTGCTGCAATATCATCTATAGGCAAATCGGTTTCACCAAACCTGTGTTCTCAAGTCATTGACGTTCAGATTCATCATAAAACTTAAAACCTGTTTAATAATTTTTGCCAGAATACTCAAACCTGAATGGAAGAACTTCATCGACGTAGTGGAAAGTACGTCCAAGCACTACAGATATAATCGTCATTATCCTGCAAAATTACCAAGTTTAATAACGCTGCTCTACAGATTTCAAAGTAACATTTGGTTTCAGACAAGATTCACGGACCATAACGCCTCTGTTTGAGAAAGAAAGCATACCCTAGGGCGCCAAAAGTCCCCACGAATACGGTAACAGCAGAGTTCCTTGCTGCTAAAAGAGCCTAAACAACAAACATGAAAACTTATCACAATCAATAGAGTCATTGATGACAGAGAGTTTCTAAAGCTCAAGATCATACCGCAATGAAGAAAGTCTTGTCTCCAAGTTCAGAGAAAAAGATAAGCAAGAACGCCTACAAAGAGACATAGACAGAGCAAAACGTAAAATTTAAAGGAATGGCACTGAAGAAGACATAGTTCCCGGTTCTGTGCAAAAGGAAGATTCTCTAACCGAAGCAAAACCTGAGCTAATATCTCCAAGGTCTCCAAGAGATGTGACAAGTGACTGCGTCCCATTGGCAATTGACGAAGCCGCAAAAGCTGGATCATTGCCGAGTAATGCAACCGAACCTGATACCGCCAAGAACTTAAGAACCCTCAGAGTCTCTCTTCTTGAGTGAGCTACCGATGACTCAACCAAAACATCAAGATTTCTATCTTTTTCTTCAGATTCAGCTTTCTGAAAATGCAAACACAACAACTCTAATTCAGTTCACCTCGAAATCGCCTTGGCTTCTACATAATCTCCTCTAATGTCAAAAATCTACAATCAGAGAGATGATCGATCAAACTAAAAACAAAATTCAAAATCACCTCGAGGTAACAAGCGGCATCATTTCGTCGGAAACATCGAAATTCAAGCTGCTGAGATTCATTTCGGCGCAATTGACTCAAACATCTGCACAGAATTGTGAAAGACATAAACCCCTAAATTCCATTCGTATAACAAAACAAAATGCAGATTCAAACTTACCTAGAGAAGTATCGATCACGAACCGAAAACCCGATCGGAATTGGACAAGCGGAGACGCATCTCCTCGACGATGAGGAAGGAGGAGAAGAAGAAGAAGACGAATCGGATTTGGGAGGCCTAGGGTTTTGGAATGGAATGCGAAGCGACTCGGAGAGATTCAAACTTAGCATTTCTCTCCTGAGGATTTTGTGTTCTTCTTCTTCTTCTTCTTCACACACAGTGTGTGATTCTTTACTGCGAGCAAAAAAACCTTTGGCTCTGTTTGGTTCTGAGAAGATAGTGAATAAAAAAATCCACAAAACTAGAGTTTATTCGCGCGCGTCCACGTATTACCCATCGCACGTGTGGAGCGATCGTTGAATAAAGGCACACGTATGTGTCACATACACTTGATGAGTTTCGAGCCTAGATGTAAATTCATATTGGGCCAACAATAGGCCCGTTGTTTAGGACAAGATATTTTTCTTTTCTTTTGTCATCTAATAAAGAGGGAGTTACCACTGACTACTGCTGACTCGACGACTTTTGTGATTAGAGGGAGCAACATTTTGTTTTGTCAACAATCTTTCTTTTGTGTTGCTTTTCTTTGGTATGTTGGTTTGACGATATTATTTTTAAAAAATATGAATACTTATAAGTCACATTTTAAATTTCTGCAACTTGTTTTGCTTTATTGGCTGTCCAAAATGCCAATGTTCTATTAAGTCGGCGAAAGGTTAGCTTAATCAAAAAATAAATGCATTCATGATAAAACGGTTACTTTTCGATTTATTATATGAAAGAAATTTTGCAAATGGACAAGATTATCATTAAAGAAAAGACATGTTTTTGTATGCAAAGAATAATAGCCATAGGGTACTTCATTAGAATCCAAATGGTTTAGAGAAAAAAAAAAAACAATTCATAAATTTCTATTTCTAAACATGAATTTTATAAGAGAGTCTAGTTTTGGTAAAATATATATATATATATATATATATATATATATATATATATATATTCTAATGAACATACTAAAATTTAAGAGTTTAAATGTGACTTATATAAGAAATTAGTCTACTTTTAGTTTCAAAACAAATCGATTTATAAATACTTTAGCATGTCAGTGGCAGTTTGACCTAATTTCATGTAAAATCACAAGTTACTGGAAAAACTCATGCTCATTAGTTTTTATTATTAGTGTTCCACCAACCCATTATTAAAAGGCCAAATTACATATACTAGTAGTACTCACGACTATACATATTTATTATTAATGTCCTAATACTAGATAAACAAGTAGATTATTCATTGAGTGCACAATTTATTATTAATGAAACATATTTAACGGATTTAATATCTCTTCTGCTTTTGAATTTGTGTTGTTTTAGATATTATTATAAATTCGTGCAACTCTAGTTTAAGGTATGTATAAGTTTATGTAGTCTTAATTAGATCAAATATGTATTATGCTAATTAGTTTTAGTACTTCATTCGTGTTTTAACGATTTCTCCACTATAACAATTTGTGGAAATTTTTGTAAGGTGATTGAGCCGCCTACATTGAAAAGTTTCAGATATTCATATCGTGAATGATTTTACTTTATATACATCAACAAAACTTATCACCAACCTAGTAGAAATATATAAATAAACAAGAAATAAGAGAGAAGACGTGAGCTAGTCCACTTGGTCTATACTTTATATTCCCACAGACTACTAAATCCAAGTTGTATATAAACCCATCACTCTTCTTTGTCAATCTCACTCTCTAATTTCCACTCTCACATTTTCATTGAAAATATAAACACATTTTTAATATGGTCGGCCAAATGAAATCAATTCTCTTCTTATTCATTTTCCTTGTTCTATCAAAAACCGTCATATCAGCTAGAAAACCATCCAAATCGCAACCAAAACCGTGCAAAAACTTTGTTCTCTACTACCACGACATAATGTTTGGCGTCGACGACGTCCAAAACGCGACTTCTGCAGCCATTACCAACCCGCCAGGCCTCGGGAATTTCAAGTTCGGAAAACTCGTGATCTTCGACGATCCCATGACCATAGACAAGAACTTTCAATCCGAACCTGTGGCAAGAGCTCAAGGGTTCTATTTCTACGACATGAAGAACGATTACAATGCATGGTTCGCGTACACACTTGTGTTCAACTCTACTCAACACAAAGGGACGTTGAACATCATGGGAGCAGATCTTATGATGGTGCAGAGTAGAGATTTGTCTGTTGTCGGAGGGACAGGCGATTTTTTCATGTCTCGAGGGATTGTTACGTTTGAGACTGATACCTTTGAAGGTGCTAAGTATTTTAGGGTCAAGATGGATATCAAACTCTATGATTGTTACTAAAAGATACCATTAAATGGTTCCAGAGACAGATAGAAAGAGAGAGATCGGCTGATTACTTTGAAACTTTTGATAATTGAATAAGTTTAAGTTGTGTAACAACCTTGAGATTTTATGTTTTATGTTCGATTTGTGGTTTGATGTATTATATGATTTGTTATGTCATGTGTTGTTTGATAAAAACAAACACTATGTTATACAATATCAGGTTTTTGTTACTACTGAAACTTTAATCTATCTTTATAATGGACACACATGCGATGATAGAAATCAAGTAGGAAAATATATTTCAACACGCACTAGTAAATATAATTGTGTCACATGTCACCAAACATTTGATTTCAATATTAATGTCTTAAAACAGTATTTTAACTTTAAATTATATAAAAAAATATGTGTTGCAATTGCAATCAAGTAGGCATGATCGTTTCGGATAATAACAGGAACGAATTGGATAAAATATAATTTGAGTATCTACAATTACAGTATGAAGTATTCATTTGAAAAAAGATCTAATAGTTTTTCTTATACATTCACAAAATATAAATAACTTTGGTACTAACAACATGAATAATCATTTTTAAATAACAAAAAAACATGAATAATCCATCCATAAAATCATATTTTTTGAGTGAATATATGTTTTTATCTTACAAGTTCATATAAAGGGGGATCATTTAATTCATGCATGTTGATACATAAGAGTGTTTTGTGTTATCTATCTTGTTTTGTGCTTCAAGTTAAAGAAAACACAATCCTCTGTTTTCAGATTTTCATGGCGTCTCCACCACCGGGACAGTGACGGAACCCACCACAGAAGGACTTTTCTCGGTGTACTGTTGAACCACCAAAACAGAAACTGAAGTAGAAATCTCATTTGACACGATCAAGTTTCCGACCGGTCCAAGTTCTGGACACTCTATCTTCATAACCGGTAATCTTGAAACCATAGGTCCTTTGGAAGATTTCCCGACCAATAAAATATCGCACTCGCAAAATTTGCCGATAATCTCAACCACTTCCTCCGTTGAATTCACCGTCCTCTCTTCAAATCGTGTTGCATTGGCCCTTTTCTTGATTGTGGCAAGGAATTGCTCGTCTGACGAAAATAGAGATGTTTCTTGCGCTTCAAGTATATCAAATCTTGATCTCTCCGGACCAGAGATAACAACAACGGTCATGTTAACGCCCGGATGTTCTGCCATTCGTAACCCGTAAACCAAAGCTTCACGATCATCACAACCGCCAAAGAACAGAACATTAACGGAAAGTGAAAAGTTGCTCGAAGCTACCAGAGAATTTTTGTCGCCAAGACCACGATCAACCAAAATTCCTACAGAACACGGTGAATTCTCAAGAACTCTTTTGTTAATCCCCTGATACTCCGATCTCACCGTTTCGAATTCTTTCTCCAGAGATCTCCATTGCTTATGAAACGGCAAAATCACAAACGTTGCACGTTTACTATCCGCAGAGCTACATATATCCTCATGAATTGTTGACAACGGTGAAATCGCGGTCACAGAACGCACAGAAACGCTACTTAGCTTACTAGAGGCCTCGAACGCGACTGTAACCGCACTAGAGTTATCTCTTTTCTTGTTCCAAAAGGGCACTCCGTTTCTTCTCGCCTTTTGAACCATTCGAATGGAAGAAGGTCTCTCGGAGAGTTGAGTTAAATGCATAACGTAAACGCAAAATCTTTCTTTGGTTTCGTTGCTTCCACGAGTAGCTTCAATTATTTTCATCATCGGATCAATATCTTTACTGCTTTGAAGACATACCAAAACCTTAAGCTGCTGCGTTTTCTCGCCTTCTTCATCATTCTCAATCTTGCGTCTATGTTTGCGGTTCTTGTAGCTGCCGCTACTATACGTTTGCGTTGTCTCGCTTGGTTTGTATAACCCCAACACTATTGGCGTTGTGATGAATGTGGTGAATATCGCCATGAGAACCATAATTGCAAAAGTCTGGTCGCTCAAAACCTGCGTTACATAATCATAATTAAATCCTTAACTATTTGATTAAAATCGTTTCAACTTGTAATTATAGTTTAAGATTAGATGAAAGCACCTTTCTGTCTTTGCCAATGTTGAGAACAATTAGCTCCACTAAACCCTTTGTGTTCATTAAAACCCCAAGAACAACGGATTCACGAAGCCCTACCTTGCATAACAAGGCAACACTCACAGTCCCAACGATTTTGCCAAAACAAGCTGTGACGATCACCAACGCGAGTCGTCCCCACGATTTCACACCTTGAATCGTAGTTATATCCGTTTTCAAACCGCTCATAACGAAGTACAATGGTAGAAGAAGACCCATTACGAGATCTTCAATCTTCTCCACTATCGCGTCTGCAAAATGTCCTTTGGGAAACAGAACGCCCATCACAAACGCACCGAAAATCGCGTGAATTCCAATCGCGTCTGTCGCGAAACCCGCGATCAGAACCGAGCAAAGAGCGACGCAAACGTACATTTCGCCTATCGGTTCGCCTTCTGGGCAACGCCGAGCGATGAATTTGAAAACTCGCGGTACGATTAAAAAACACGCGATCACAAACGCGATTCCACTTAACAGAACCCAGAGAGGAACAAGCGGAGAATTCTTATCGCCGGAGAGAGATACAGCGAGAGCAAGGAGAACCCAAGCGGCGACGTCGTTAATTGCGGCGGCGGACATTGAAATACGGCCGAGATCGGTAGTGAGAAGCTTTAATTCAGCGAGGATTCGAGCCAAAACTCCAAAAGCAGTGATCGAGAGTGCGACTCCCATGAAAATGATGAACGGAACTACTTTGCTATTGTCGCCGGAAGATGAAGCTTCAGGGAAAGCGAAGGAGGTGACGATGCCCATACCGAAGGGGAGGAGCATTCCGGCGGCGGCGATGGAAATAGCTTTTTTGCCAGTGCGGCGGAGAGATGTCAGATCGATCTCGAGTCCGACGAGGAAGAGGAAGAGAAGGAGGCCGAGGTTTGCTAGAGTGTCGAGCACCGTTAGACTTCTCGCCGGAAAAATTGAATTCTTGTACGACGTGATTCTACCGAGAGCCGACGGACCCAGAAGTATGCCACCCTAAATCCCGGTACAAATCAATTTTGGTCTGGTTTAGTTTTTGAATTAAACCGGATAAATGAAATGTTTCTCAAGCGGTCTACTGGGAGTGTTCAGTTCAAATAACCAAACCACAAAAATCATTCGAATTGAGTTTTGATGCAAATTATAATTTCTAAACCAAATTAGTAAAGATGGTTACAGGATTGTTCAGTTGATGAAACGAAAAAAATAATATCCAAAATAGAAATTGAATTTTAAATATAGATATTCATAATTTTTTCTATATCCAAATAGCTAAATCGATCTCAAACCAAACTAAAGTAAAATTGAACAATTTTTCTGAAAATTAAAGATATTTTTGATTAAAAATTGAACCTCACATGACATATACTAACTGAAACCATATACCAAACTTGATCCACTCTAAATAGTAAAATAGGATTTAGGTTTGTAGTTATTGTTTTTCCTAACCAAAAAACCACATAAACCGAACGGAATCCCGGTACAACTCAAATTTCAGTGTGGTAGGATGTTGATTGAACCGGAAACTATAAGACTGACCTAAACCGGTTGATGGAAGACTTACAATGATCTCGGCGACAACACGTGGTTGTCTCATGGGACGGAGAAGGAAGGCCAAAGAGCGAGTGACGGCGACGACGAGGCAAATCTGAAGAATGACAAGAGGAAAAGCGAAATCTAATGGACTCTCTCCATCGAACACTCCGTTGGACGTTGCCTTCATCATCGCCACATTCTTGGGACACTTCATCGCCGGAATAGTACCGTTGACCAAAGTACCCATTATTGTCTGCAAAAATGTAAATATCTTTGTGTCTGACTTATATAATCAATATTGTGATCCCCTAGAGTATCTTGTGGTCTATGTAAATGTATGTGTGATTTATATATACATATAATCTCTAACCAACCACTTTGGTTTGAAAATAGTGTCCCGTAGGGTATTCATGTAGGTGATAAGATTTATCGATTTACTGTCTGTTTAATGAAATCTAGTAGAATAATAGGCCAAGACAAAAACTATCACAATGGCCTAACAATGTCACCGGTTTAAGCCATTCAAATTTTGGTCTGATTAAACCGGGCACTTGTTCATTACTTCGATCAATATTCAAGCAGATTCAATCGAATTATTAAAAAGATTGCTTGTGGACTATGCTTTATGTAGTGTGTGTTGATAAAAGATAAATAAATTAGAATGTCATCGTAATTTGTCAAAAATAAAACGTCATCATTTACTTTCATTTTTTTATAATCGTGAAAATTTTCATATCGCAATCCAAACTAAACATTTAAGAAGATACTAGGGGCTATCCCGCGCTACGCGCGGTTTGTTTTTATAAATATATAAACACATGATTGTTCTATTTTAGTTTCGTTTTCCTTTTATTATGATCTCTTGTAGGGATTTTTATTAGACTTCTCGTGAATAACCAAAATAATTAGTGTATGAGCCAGTTAAAGTTAATCATAACTTATAAGTTCTTTTCAAAACATTTTGTATATTGAACCAAATTTTCCTAACTTGTATTCTAAATTGTACGTTTGAAAAGATTTCCAACCTTTTTTGGGGACTTGCAGAGCATAAGATTGGAAAAAGACGATCCATTGTTTAATTCCAAGAATAAAAAGCAAAGAGTTACTTACAAATCATAGAGCATTAGTGTGTTGTATACTTGTATACCCTTTTTTTACCTCAATGGTTTACTTCAATAACAGATACATTTTCTTCTAGCACCAGCGCGGCTTGGACGTTTCTTTATTTGGTTGTAGAATGAGTTGGGGCCAAAAATTGGTTAGTCCCAATTAATCTGCACTTATAAAGTGTATGAGATAAATGGGCATGACTCAATAATCTTCCAAACTTTAAAGGCCTTGCAGGTTTCACCCTAGAGTGGCATTTTTTATCTTTATATATCCAGGCAGCAAATTGGAAGTACGTAGACAGTCGTAACATCTAATTAACTTCTAAACATTATGGGTCACAAATTACGCTATTGTAGAATAATAATGTAAGAACATCTTCAACAAACTGCTACATGGCACCTGAAACCATTAACCTTACTTTGATATCCATCTCATGATTATATACGGTAGCTTTGGTTTTCTCCCACCTTCGATGAAATTAACTTATTATGTGAGCTCAAGGACACCAGAACTCCCAGAGACAAAACCCCATGAGATATGTTAACCGTTGTAAGTTTTAAAATCCAGAGCATGTCCAACATGGTCACCTTCTTCGAAGCAAACTATTGGTTAAATGTGTACTCCAAACTATTAAGAACTATAATTGTTTTAACTACTTACAAATTAGAGGTAACTCCAAGATCTTACTTAGGAATTCAAATTTGCATTAAATTTACTTGTACCAACAATTACTTCGAGTATTTGTATAGACACACACTTAAGATGGAGGTAGGACAACTCTTTGGTTTTCTTAAGCAAAGACCAAACTCAACAAATAATTCTTATGGTAAGTGATTCCAAACAACATGAGAGAGAAAGAGAGATATAGAACAAACTGAATTTGTGAAAAGAGAGACATGTAGAAAAGAAAGGCTAAAAGAGGTTACACAATAACACAAAGAAGAACTCATGTACTTAACTTGTGACGTCCTCTGCCTTTAAACTGAAGTAATTTGAGCACTATCCTTCCTGATGAAGTAAGGTCATGAATCAAAAGTACAATAGAAACAAATTAGTAGTTCAAGTTAAGGCCTACATTTCAAAGGTATTGTGACATTGGCGAAAGATGTGAATACAAAACGAAGAAACTCTGAGTTAAAATGTATTAAGATCTCTTTAGATTTCTTAAAAATAGAGAAAAGATGATGCGAATTACGAACTAATTAAGGAGAAAGTTTTCTACATATGGCCTATCAATGGTGATTTTAAATGTCGTGAGTTTTAAGTATTAACACAATCTCAAGAGCTTACAAAATCTTAAAAGAATTGAACTTCATAACTTTGAATTCAAAATACTGTAAAACCTCGCAAGTTATATACAACAAAAGATTCTTTTTATTGGAGACGGGATAAATACCTTTTATTTTCGGTAATCTTATGATGCTTGTGCTTTTTGGTACTTGAAAAGGCCCTGCCAAGGAAGGCTGACACAAAAACTAAGGATTAGGGACGACTATCACAAAAGAAAGAAAACAAAAGTGGAGGTTACGTTATTCATTTACCTTTCTGGAAGGAAAGAGATTTCAGATCATCCCTTCTAGTCCTGCGTGCTATGGGTAACAGGTGATCAGTATTTGGGATCTAAATTAGTTTGTTCTCCCTTGGAACTTTCTAAGTTGTTTCAAAACATTCAATCCAGCCATGATGAAGCATGAGCCATAGCTGGCCGCAGAGCTACCGTAGTCGAAGATTGCAGAAGAGAGAATGGAATAGGAAGAAGTGGTGATATGCCTAATTTAAATCGTCTAAGCACATACAAATCGATGGAGAAGATGGAGGGTTTGCGCCGTTACGAAGAAATCGGAAGAAAATGTATCGATTCCGACGTGAGGTATAATGTGGAGATTTTTCTAGATATGCTGACGTGGATAATTATGATGATGTGTCAACTTAATAAGATAAGTTTAGAAAGATGATGTGGCTAGCTTTAGAAGCCTCAATGAGTTCCTTTTATTAGTAGTAGATGATGATTAGTTTGTAAACCTTAACTCGTTATAGGTTAATATCTTCTTAAGTCGTTACAAGGTTTAAAATCCAAGCTCTCTAAACTAATTAAGTACTAATCTTCAATTGTTGTTGCAAAATATTCGTTTATCAATCAGTATGTAACTGAGGATTGCATGCATTCCGATCCAAACCTTATTTTAATCATTTTTCACGTCAATTTTTCGAAGCTGATAGCGTAATACTAATACTTTTGTGTTTTCAAAAGTCATTCCTATGTGTACATGCGTATTATATAGTGACAACAAATTATTAATTTTATTTTTTTGGGTGTTTACGTTGTGGCTTTTAGTGTTTTGCAGAACTTAGAAATTCAGTTTATAGAATGTTTTGCAGAAATGTTTTCTTATTCGAGATTCATTTTAAGTAGAGATTCATTTTTCTGAGACAAAAAAAGAAAGTTATTAGATATTCATTTTCATATCGTTGAGACGACTGACCTTTTTATTTATTTTTGTTGATAAATGAGACGACTGACTTGGTCTCGTCAAAGACGGTATTGATGTTTATGTCCTGTATAATGTGTCTAGGTTCATTTGTCAATTGTACATTGGTACAAGTATAGACCAGTTTAGTAGATTATATTTCTATTTCTGGTTAACAGTTTCGGTTTAGCTAATGTCTAGGTATATAAACTGCACCATATACATTTGATTTTTCCTTAGTCAATGAGAATGAGATTTATTTTAGTCGTTTGGTAAAAGACGGAATATTTTATTTTAATTATGAAATATATTTTAAAGGTATCTAGGTTATCCCTTTCATAAAAAATTGTGGTTTCAAAGTTTTGTTTTTGTTTCACAAAAAAATGTTTGATTTTTTTTTAATATTTTCAATGCATTTTTAAAAACTAATTTAAATCTATCTTATTCTTAGTATTCTAGCTTGTTAATTTGAAAGATAAATTTATTCAACATATTTATTAAAAAAAAAGATATAGTAGAGGTTTTCATAATTTTCTTAGTGTTAAAATAACAATTTTGTGTTCTAGAAAAAGAGTACTAGTATTAAACAAATATCTAGTAGCCATTTCATTTTTGTTTATTGTTGTCACTAGAATCAAAGTTCAACCTCGATCAAAACCACACCAGTTTCGGTAAGGGTGAATACAAACATAAATGTTCTTTAAAAAAAAGTTGTTAAAAACGGGTACGAGACATTACCAAGTATTATAATGCCTAAATTACTGGAGTATACTTTTCTTTAATCAGGTCCCCACGTCTAAGAAATTTAAAATAAAACAAAAACAAGAAAAGAAAATTTGATTGTGGATGAAAATGGACGTCTCATTAGTCTACGTTTCTTAGACAAAGTCAAGGTTGTAACTTGTCACTTACTAATCTAGCTTAAAGTCTCAAGTTCCCATGATAGATTGCAACATGATAGATCAATAGACCAAAAACTCTTTTACTTGGTGTAATAGTAAAAGTAAAATTTCTGTCAATTAGCCTAACTTTCCCAAATTCAAAGATAGGTACTGTAACTTTTTTCAATAGTTATTTTTATAGGCCAATATTTTTTAGTTTAGGCCCCAAAACACTTATGACCGAATCTGCTCTCCCTTAAGAGTTTGATTCTGAATTATACTAGGTTTAGATCACAAGCCCATCATAAGTCTGATCCAGTCCAGCATTTATGTTTAGGCCCCAAAATAAGCTACAATCTTATGAAGTATGAACCATTATTATTTTTCTCTCTCTCATTCTCTCAAGTCTCAACCCTCATGCTCTGACAATTTGCAGAGTTTTATAATCTTCTTGGCATTAAAACTGTAACATACATTACATCATTTGGAAAGGAAAACATTGTATCATTTGGAAAGCTCGCTAGGAACATTGTAACATACATATTGGGGCGAATCGATTATCTGCGGTATCATTCAATACATTTAGCCGAGAATGTAACCAAGTAGTAAACATTTTATACAATTAGCGAAAATGCTATAAAAAAAATGATTGCAAGGAAACGAAGAAGAAGAATTTGATTGTAGGGACAAAGAGATTACAACGTTGTTAAAAATGTAAAACACAGAAGCTAAGAACAAAAGTTACACTTGTGTGTGGAAGATCCCACACCAATACCATCATCCCCAATAACGTACCTACGTGTAATGTTTTTACCCACTGTCCACAGACTGTGGCACCGCTTATTCTTCTTTCTTTTTTTTTTCTTCATAAAATAACAAATACACTCAAATAAATCAAATTATAAAAAAACATAAATTTATTACCGCATCAATATACATGATTCCATGATTGTAAATAGTAACAATTTCTCAAAATTTGCGGCCATTCAACGAAGAAGAAGAAGAAAAGAAAACACTCAATGATCAAAACTGAATAAATGAAATGAGAGAGACAACAGTTTCGTCTCCATGATTATGAACAGAGAAAAAGGGTTACTTCTTCTTAGATTGAAATAGGCCTGGGCATAAAATCCGAAATCCGAAAACCGATCCGAAACCGATCCGAAAAATCCGGCTCCGAATCCGAACCGAATAGTCACAAAATCCGAACAGATAATGAATTCTCCTATCCGAATTATCCGAACCGAACCCGATCCGAACCGAAAACCGAAAGGATATCCGAAAACCGAAAATAAAATTATAAATCCAAAAATATTAGTTATATTTAGCTATAATTTTATAACAAATAACAAAAATATCTTAAATAACCTAGATATCGGAAAGTTTTTAGTTATATTTGTTAAAATTATACATATTTTTAGAAAACTTAGCCAAATTTTAGTAAGATTAAAATTATTTTTTATTTGAATTGAACATTTTTTTAGTTTTTTTTCCTTGCAAACCGATCCAAAATTAATCCGAAACCGATCCGAATCCGACACTATCCGAACCGAACCCGATCCGAATATTCATAAAATCCGAACGGATAATAAAATCTCCTATCCGAATTATCCGAATCCGAATAAATCCGAACCGAATCCGATCCGAAATCCGAATGCCCAGGCCTAGATTGAAATATTAATAAAACCAAAAAGAGTGAAACTTTTTGTTTAGTTTAGCCTCTCTCTAAAGAAATGAAAAGTAAAGAAGAAGAAGAAGAAGAAGAGGAAGATGATGGAGGAGAAGAAGGAGAAGGGCAAAAAGGGAAGAGATTTATTGAAAAGTTAAGGAGAAGAGCTGTTCTTGTAGGCCATAGAAGTTTCTTTCGCCGACCTTCCACTCCTACGCACATTAGCTTTAACCCTAATAAGAACCCGTCTTCTTCTTCCTCCTCTAGAAAGCTTGCAGCTTCTCTCTGGGAATTTTATCAGTATTACGACAACGACTATCAGATTCATTCTCCTGCTATTACTAAAATGCACAGAGCTCCCTTAGGTTCTGCTGGGCCCAGTAACAACCGTCGTCTCCGTCACGGCCATGGAAAGGCGGCGGTTGTAGACAATAATGGTCTTGAGCTTACTGATCACCAGGTCTCTCTCGATTACATGATCTTTTTTAGTTGATTATCCAATGAAGTTGATTGGTTTTAAGATTAGGCATTGCGCAAGTTTGATTTTCTTGTGACAATGTATCATCTTGCCTTTGTTTTATTGTTAAAGTTTGATTTTTTGGACATGGGTAGTGATGAACTAGTGAATTCTTAGCTCTAGATTAGTGGTTTATTCTGTTTCTGGTTCAGGGATTTGGGTTTTGGCATAATTAAGATGATAAGTGTTCTTGGTTTGCCTAGTTGTTACTCTCTTCTTGGTTTAGAGTTTTGCAAGTGATTGGTTGAGGAGAGTTAGATTTTGTTGATTGACTGGACACGAACCTCGTAAGCTGAAGGCAATACTATTGCCATTGATGCTGAGCTCATTTCTTTTTGCTTCTTGATTACTAAATTTTGGTTGCCTAGTCCTGCAGAGGATTTCTCTTGTAAGCTGAGATTAGGTTTGGTGATGGAGGATTCTATTTAAAAATGTGATATTTTGTTCCGGCTTTTTGCAGAAAATTCTGTTTCTGGTTTTGATTCTCCTGATTCTTCTGTTTTTAAAAATTCTGCTATGCTTCTTGTGTCCCAGCCAGAGAGTGCGGGAAGTATAAGGAGACAGATTGGTCAAATGCTGATGAAGCATCATCATTTAACTGAAAGAAACGACCATGCTTTGCAGCCGGTATCTCCTACAAGCTACGATAGCTCCCTCGAGGTATTCATATTCAGTCCAAATTCTTCTTTTTCTTTCGAAACAACCGATTTAACAGCTTGTCGCAAAGAAATGAATTTTATTTTAGTTTGGGATTGGTATTGAGATGGATCATTCTTCAGGTGGCTCCATATAATGCAGCAGTTTCTCCGGGAAGACGACGAGCTGGTGAGCCTAACTACAATCTCAAGACATCAACCGAACTTCTTAAAGTACTGAACCGAATCTGGAGCCTCGAAGAGCAGCATTCCGCTAATATCTCCTTGATAAAATCTTTAAAAACCGAGCTTGCTCATTCACGTGCCCGGATCAAAGAACTTCTCAGATGCCAGCAGGCCGATAGACGCGATATGGATGATTTAGTGAAGCAACTCGCGGGAGAAAAGCTGTCAAAAGATATAAAGGAACACGAACACGATCGGTTAAGCTATGCGGTTCAATCGCTAGAAGATGAGCGGAAACTGAGGAAACGTTCTGAGAGTTTGTATAGGAAATTGGCACAAGAGCTCTCGGAAGTGAAGTCAACTTTGTCTAACTGCGTTAAGGAGATGGAGAGAGGGACTAAGTCAAAGAAGATTCTGGAGAGATTATGTGATGAATTTGCAAAAGGGATCAAGAGTTACGAAAGGGAGATTCATGGTTTAAAGCAGAAGTTGGATAAGAATTGGAAAGGTTGGGATGAACACGATCAGATGGTTCTTTGTATTGCGGAATCATGGCTTGATGAAAGGATTCAGAGTGGCAACGGATCGGCTTTGGAGAAGCTCGAGTTTGAGATAGAAACATTTCTTAAGACTAAGCAGAACGCAGACTCTAAAGAAATAGCAAGAAATCGCCGGACTTCACTTGAGTCGGTTCCATTTAACGCCATGAGCGCTCCGATTTGGGAAGTCGACCGTGAGGAGGAAGAAGATTCTGGCGGAAGCGATTCAAATTGTTTTGAGCTCAAGAAACATGGGAGTGATGTTGCAAAGCCACGACTCGGCGATAAAACTGAGAAACCAGAATTATCAAAAGCAGATGTTGTGTCTGGTGAAAAACCGAGGAGACGGAATCAAAGCCCGTCGAGTTTACAAGTGAAGTTCGAGGATCAAATGGCGTGGGCGATGTCTTCTAATGAGAAAAAGAAAGCTAGAGCCATTGAAATTGAGCCTGAGACGGATAAAGGTGGTAAAGAAACGAACAATGTGGTTGGGGAAATGATTAGAACTCATCGGAGGTTATTGTCGGAAACTAGGGAGATCGATGAAGCTTCTTGCAGTTACCCATCAAGAAGTCGAGAGAGCCCGATTCGTCAATGGAATACGAGAACCGTAACACCTGATCTCAGTGGGCCACAAGGAGTAAAGGACAACACTTTGAAGGCTAAACTAAGCGAAGCGAGAACAAAGAGTTCGAGGCCACGAGTTCGGGTATTCAAGGGGTGAGTTTCTGATGTAATCATCTATATACGGAAGAGCCATTGTTGGTGCAATGGTCAGACTCGGAGATGGAACAAGCTGAGATGGTTGGCGGAAATAGACAGGAACTTGAGAAGTTCCATGTGTGGATATGTTCATATATGTGAATCCTACGCATCTGTAGAGTTATATGTTTATAACTATGTATAATGTATAGCTGTTTTATATCGATTTGATCATCTCTGAATTTTGTATTCTTGATTTTTGTTTCGGACAAAAGAAAAGAGTTGTGGTCTTACGAACATAGCTTATATAAATAAAGAGCTGAAACGACGTCGTGTGAATGTTTCCGTGGGCCTATCATCATTGTCGTCTCTCACAAGTCGCAACACAGAGAGAGATGGCGACGGCGTCGTTTAGGTGGATCTTGCAGCTACACAGAGACGTACCAAAAGCGGCTCGATTCTACGAGAAAGGTCTCGATTTCTCCGTCAATGTCGTCACCTTACGTTGGGCTGAACTTCATTCTGGTCCTCTCAAGCTAGCTCTTATGCAATCTCCCAGGTATTGATTCAATGCCTATAACGTGTTCGATCATTTGCCTCAATGAAACTTTTTTTTTTTTCTCTGGAGAGTTGTTTATTACTTGGTTGTCTTCAGTTCACTGTCCTGTCTGATGAAAAAAGTTGGAACTTATAGAGGATTTTTGTTGTTCGATCATTGCAAAGATAAAATCAATGTTTTGATGCAGCGAGCATGTGATGAGTGAGAAGGGATACTCTTCCTTACTATCGTTCACTGTGGCAGACATTAATTCAACAATCTCTAAACTTATGGAATTAGGAGCTGAACTCGATGGCTCTATCAAATACGAAGTCCATGGCAAGGTAAACCCAACCATTTCGTGCAAACACTTTAATCTCATTGCCTAACATTTCTTTTATTAAGATTTCAATCTTTGTTTTCTTGATAACCAGGTTGCTTCTGTGAGATGTCTTGATGGTCATGTGCTCGGTCTCTATGAACCTTCATAGATTATCAATTTATCAGTTCATGCCTTTTTGCTGTTCGATTATATCATAGTGGGTTTGTTTTTCATGTTTCGACCCGTTTAATAATAAGATCATCTTAAGTCTTGACAACAGCAAAAGACGCTATGTTCAGAAACTAAAACAAAAGTCAACGTGCTGCTGCATTTCTTATTCTGAAATCTGAACAAAATACTCGTGAAACAATCTGTGGTTTGAATCCCATTTCCAATTGCTTTAAAAAAGCAAGACAAAAAGGGTTCTAAGAAAAAACAAAAAAAACGTCAATGGAGTGTTCAATTGTTCTTCCTAGCAAGCTTGGTCCATTCGGTGTGGTACGCACCAGGACGATCGGTCCTCTCATATGTGTGAGCTCCAAAGAGATCTCTCTGCGCCTGAACCAGATTTGCCGGCAATCTAGCACGTCTATAAGTATCGAAATACGCAAGACTCGCGCACATTCCTGGCGTGCTAATCCCTGCAGAAACAGCCAAACCCACCACTCTTCTCCAAGCAGCTTGTCTCTGAACCATCTCTTTAGCAAACTCAGGATCAACCACAAGACTCGCCAAATCCGGGTTCCTCTGGTAAGCTTTCTTGATCCTATCCAAGAAAACCGCTCTTATAATACACCCACCTTTCCAAATCCTAGCCAATTCACCAAAATTCAAGTTCCAACCTTTCTCTAAACTCTTAGCTCTAAGCAAATTCATCCCTTGAGCATAACTACAAATCTTCGAAGCATACAAAGCTTGCCTAACATCATCAACCAATCTCTTCTTATCGATTCCGCTCGACGCAGAACCAATATCTTCCTTCAAACCAGCTTCCCTCAACACTTTCGCAGCATTCTCCCTCTCATCTTTCAATCCACTCAAATACCTACAATCCAACGAAGCAGCAATCGTCGGAGCCGCAACAGAAAGCTCCGCCGCTTGCTGGACCGTCCATTTCCCAGTACCTTTCATACCAGTCTTATCCAAAATCTTATCAACTAACTCACCATCACCAAACTCATCCTTAACCCTAAATATATCAGAAGTAATCTCAACCAAGAAACTCTCAAGCTCACCTCGATTCCACTCCGTGAAAATCTCCGCAAGCTCCTCATTGCTTAATCCACCAACGTTCTTCAACACATCATAAGCTTCAGAGATCAATTGCATATCTCCATACTCAATCCCATTATGAACCATCTTCACGAAATTTCCAGATCCACCTTCTCCGATGTAAGTAACACAAGGTCCATCTTCAACTTGAGCAGCGACTTTCCCCAAAATATCTTTGATGTTATCATAAGCTTGAAATGATCCACCAGGCATTAACGAAGGACCGTTACGAGCTCCTTCTTCCCCGCCGGAGACTCCCATACCTAAATAGAGTAATCCTTTTTGCTCAGCTTCTGAGATCCGTCGCTCTGTGTTCTGATACCATTCGTTTCCACCGTCGATGATACAATCTCCTGGCTCCATGTATTCGGAGAACGCGTCGATTGTTTGGTCAACGGGAGCACCAGCTTTGACGAGGATGATGAGAGATCTAGGCCGTTGGATCGAGAGGACGAAATCGCGAGGTGAGTATTGGCCGGAGACTGGGAGGTTTCCTTCGACGGCGGCTCGATCTAGGGTTTCGTCGACTTTGGATGTGGTTCGATTGTAGACTGAGATTGGGAAACCTTTCTCGGCGATGTTTAAGGCGAGGTTCTGGCCCATTACGGCGAGTCCGGCAAGACCGATTCGGGATAGTGCGGCGGACTCCATTGGAGATAGAGAGATGAGCTTAGGATTTTTGGTAGAGAGAGAAATGAGGTAGTAGGAGTGATGAGAGAGAGTGGGCGGAGATATTTATACTGTGAAAATGACGGACTCGTCGATGGAGCCAAGGGACAAACGAAAACGATGATCTTTATGTTTTCAAAACGCTGTCGTTTCGTCTCAAATATGATTTTGTTAGACCCACTCAATGTTTCAAACGATGACGTTTTTGGTTTCAAATATGATTCTAATTTTTTTATTTAAATGTCTACAATTCATACTTTAATACTAATTCTAACATAATTTCATATTATTTCTAACACAAATCCATCAAATGATAAATCAATTTTTTTTTTTTTTCAAATCAAAATTGAACGCCATAAAACTTTGATCCCTCTTCTTAGGCTTATGCAAATTCATACAAGAACATTCATTTTGATTTTGATTCTTTATATCCAAGTAGTGGGCTGTTGGATTAATTAATCTCTCTAATCATGTTTCATATTTAATCTATAATTTAATATGGTAGTGTCCATGTCGAGCATGGACTCTACCTCTTTCTTTTAGTCTCTTTTAATGTTTTCAATAATTGTACTGTTTGTACATCAACTTGATATATTAGCCTTTTGACGATGTTGAATGGTCGGGACAACTTTGCATCTATGATCTCACCATACATATAAGATTGTGAGAATTACCAAATATCTTTTACATTTATCTATATTATGAATATGAACAGTGACAAGCATCTAATTTTGAGGTGTTCTTTAAACATGACAATTTTGAGGTGTTCTTTAAACATGAACGAGCTTTTAGACGAAATGACCAATCTTCTCAACCGTATAATCCAATTTCAAGATAACAACAATTTGTTTCCTTCATTCTCTTGTTTAGTTGTCCTGTTTATCTTGACTGTTTTGTTGCTCCAGAGCAACAAAAGCCAATCCTATTTGTAACATCTCAACCATTTCTTCATCGAAACAATATTTTTTCTTTTGTATAAATAGTTGCAAAATTGTGGAAAAGTTGTATCATTTATTAGAAAACCCAATAAAAAGGAAAGATATCTGTTGAACAAAACAAAAAAGGAAAGATATCTAAGCAAAATAGAGTATATTGTTGTGTTTCTTATTAGTGTTTTTTGCGTATGATAGCATTTTTTATTTTATTTCTGCGGAAATATCCTTTTCTAGGTCTTGTTGATACAACACTTTTTAATTTTGAACTGTAGTGGACATTTGGACATGCGGAAATATGATAGCATGTGTTTCTTTGTGTCAAAAAATTTCTCTTTATTTTTTGCAATGGCATCGATGAACAGTCACCATAAAACCAATAAAACTCAACTTTTGACTAATTTGCAGAGATGTGCATGAACAAATTGTATACAATGATGTTCAAAACTTCAAATGCTACTTTCTATTTAATCTTGACTTAGATTATGCCCGGTTTAAATTTTGCAGTTTGATGGACTGAAAACAGATAACCACATCGTTGTATCAAAAAGCCTTCTGTTTCACAATTTCCCTTGCACAACAAGCAAGAGAAGATCAAAGAAAAGAAGGTCATATTCCGTTTACACTTTAGTTATTGAGAAATTGACAAGAAAAAGTATTCAAGAAGACAAATAAATGTATGTTGAAAAATGAAGAAATCTAAATGAATGAGATGTTGTTTATCCTTCATAACACTCGCACATATAATTACCCTTGTGGCCTTGACAAGAACCACCCATAAAACCTTGTTTCTTACAGTAACCATAACACACACTTTTTTTGTCCACACCGTTAGGATCTGGGCATCGTCTTCCCGTTGGATTCATACTTTTTGCTTCACCTAACTCTATCATTTAGAAGATAAAGGTTTTATTTACTAAACCAAGAAAATAACTATGAACTATGAGAACATATTAACTTTGGATGTGTGATGTATACTACAAATAATCCAAGTAAAAATAAATAGACCTGAGGAATACTTATTATATTGTAAAGTTATTTAAAGTGAACTATAGGTAAAAGAAATTGATCACCTGAGGTTAAGAGAACACATAAGCAAAGAACCAAGAAGAAGGGGATTTTGTTAGATGCCATTTTCTTTTTTGAAGTTTTTTTTCCCCTTACACAATACCAGTATGTGAATTTAACCAAGAAGGAGAAGACTTTAATTTGAACCCCATATAAATAACTAGGAATAAAGCTAAAAATAAATATGGTTATGTTTCCTAAAAAAGTATGTGAATTTAACGAAGAAGGAGGAGACTTTGACCCTACTGCGACACTTTCTTTCTTGTAATCAAGTTATCAATATCAACCATGTGTCAGGAAGGAGAAGTTCTAAATCTTAGGTAACAAAAAGTGTGAAAAAATTAAGATAAAAAGTTGACAAAATGATGAGCAAACTCTTATTATTGTCAATATATCACCAAACCAAACAAATATTAATACCAATTAACAACAAAAGGCCAATGCCCATCAATATATTACACATAATTTAAAAAAATGGTGACAATGGAAAGAAATGGATAAATGGAGCCACAAACTTTCCTTAGTTATGAAGTTGGAGTCATTGATCAAGCTGCACCAACCTTGCCAAAGAGTGACTTTCGGATCTACACACATATAAGAAAAGATCATTTAAAACAAAAGCTAAAATGCTTAGGACAAGACGAATGAGATTTCAAGAGTTTTGAAACCAGTAAGAAGATATTAGCTTAGGTATGGTACTGCATATTTAAGAGAGGAAATGTGGAATTTTATTTAACCTCGGGAAGTTTATTGCGGAACGCAACCTCCAACCTCGCATCAAGCGTGTTTTCACACACGATTTTCCCATCACGAGAAGCCAGCACCACACCTCCTGCACTGTTATATATCCACAAGTGTCATTTGGTATTAGAGTTTTGGTTCTGTTACAGTTTTTAGTGTTTTGGTTTGATATAACTTACCAGGAAAGCGCATGAGGGTCATCTTCTGAAGGAGCAGGAGGAAGGAAAATGTCCTTGTCGACAATGATTTCAGGAGCATGAACCTTTGCTTTCTTGCAATATTCTTCACTAGCATCATCCAGCATAGACTCAACCATATGAAGATCTTCTTTACGACAACGCAGTAACACTGCAGGCTCTTTCAATCTAAGCAAACACTACAACACATAACCAAAAAAAAAAAACAATTTAACAAACACATTACAAAGAAACAACAGGTGAGCTTGTTAGGACTCTTAGACAGAACCTGAACAATGAGATCTTTCAAGAGATGCTTATACTGATGGTGATGATGATTGAAAAAGCCATGTTGGCTAACTTTCAAGAGTTCCTTAGCTGCCTCTTCTTTCATTGCATTGACAATGTCATCTTGCGCTTGTAGAACCTTGATCCGCGACGCGTTCAGTTGCATTGAGTAATCACTTTTACAGAACATAGAGCAAGCAAACTCACAATTAGTCCAAGACTAAACCAACACAAAAACCATTATATCTCTCTCATCAATAGATAACTCAGAACAAAAGCAATCAGATAAGAGAGACAGAGAGAGAGAAGTGAAAAGAGCTCACATCTTCTTTCTGACATCGACCTGTTTCTCCTTCTTCTCATACTCTTGTCTAATCTTCTTCTTCTCTGCTTCAACAAGCTGCAACTTTTCAATGTTGAATTCCTGTAACATCAAAAGACCACACAACGATTTATATTTCAAGATCAGAACACAGAGCCTATGAAACAAGGATCTTAAGATCCAAAGATCAAAGTAAAACAGTCAACAGATTTTCACAATAAAATAGTCATACAATGGTCAACAGAGTCACGTAGATGGAGATTGCAAAGAGAATAGAAAAGTAAAGAGGGAGATGAAGAGAGAGTGTATGTAATGTAGGGACTTACTTCTTCGGCGGAGATGGAGATCTCGTTAGCCTTTTCTTCGGCTTCCTGGCGGAAAAGCCTGACCATCTGCTGGGTCTTGATGGCAGCATCGGCCTCGTAATTCATCTTCGAGAAACAAAAACCAACAAGTCTGAGATGTTGTTGTTGCAGAGAAGAGATGGGTGATTGATGAAGGATTGATGAAGAAGCCGTTTCGTCTTATTTTTTGGTCACACCAGAGGCAGCAGTTATTGTTATAGTAGACCCCACCCAAATCATCTTTGTTTGTTTTTTTCCAATTAGATTGGGACTAGACCATCCCATCACACGTGTTTCTCGTTTTATGTCAATTATAAATATTATTATTATTTCTTGATTTTATACCAAAAAAAGAAGAAGTTATATTTAGGGAAATTGTTAAAAATACCCCTTTTGGTGTGCCCCTTTTCAAAAATACCCATTTTAGATGTCTATTTTCAAAAATGCCCCTTTTTAAATCTGAAATTTTTATAAAGTTCTATTAGGTTTATAAGGTACTTATGGATTGTAACTACTACTTGAAGACTCGATCCAAGTATTTATAAAGTTTTATAAGGTGTTTTTTAAGGTTTTACAAGTTATTTTAAAGGATTTTTAAGGTTTTTCAAAGGTCTTACAAGATATTTTAAAGGTTTTTAAAGGTATTTAAAATGCATTTATAAGGTATTTATAAAGTATTTATAAGATTTTAGATACATAGAAATGTAGTTTGTGTATGTTTTAATAATATTACATACATATTTGGGTAAATCTTATATTTTTAAAAGCATTTTTTATAAGGTTTTTAAAAAGGGGTATTTTTGAAAAGTGGCATTTTTGCAAAAGTTATCATTACATGTTTTTGAAATTATTTATATTTTTTTTATGTTACATGAACATTTAAATCAATTTGGGCATGTAATCTAGTAGTTTGTAATTTTGTATTCATATCTTCTTTCAGTTTTTTTTTTTTTTTTTTTTTTGAACCATTTAGACTTTGGAGAACTCTTAAGAAAAAAGTCCTAACCAATCATATGAATCTGATTAGAGATAATGATATAAAATAAAAAATGAATTTCTAAAAACTAAGACAATCATGTTTCTATTATATAATCCATGAACAAACGTATGCATAACATGTAGTCATATACAAATGAAGATGACATTATACCACCAAAATGTAGAACATTTCAGCCTTTTTTTTCTTTGATGATAATTGTGTGCCAACTGCCAAGCCTCTGAATTTTACCGCGCTTACGTTACAGGCTTTAGGCTTAGAGTAAACAGAAATTAGCCGTTGGAATGAAATTCTTGAAGCAAGAATTAAATACCAAACAATCAAACCACAAGAATTTTCCCAAGCAAAAATTTAAGCGCAGAGAAACGGTCTCAGTGTTTTTAATGGCTCCAAGGTTTTTTTTTTTTGTTTTCTCAGCTTATAAATACAAAGACTTTTTTTGCCGGCTAAACCTGCCGGCGTATCTCTCTTTTATTTTTATTTTAATCAGAAACAAATTCTTCTGCTAAAGAAAATTTCTCTGTTTACAGTTAGAAACAGAAACAAGTTTCTTCACAATGCAAATCTTCTTCTTCTTCCTCTCTTTGATTCTCTGTTTTGTTCTCATTTCCTCTCAGACTCTTGACGACGACAAGAAAGCTTTGCTTGATTTCTTGTCTAGTTTCACTTCGTCTCGTCTCCATTGGAACCAAAGCTCTCCGGTTTGTAATCGCTGGACCGGAGTTACCTGCAACGAAAACCGAGATCGAATTGTATCCGTTAGATTGCCTGCGGTTGGATTCAACGGTTTGATTCCTCCTTTCACCATCAGTCGTCTCTCTTCTCTCAAGTTTCTAAGCCTTAGAAAGAACAATTTCACCGGAGACTTCCCTTCTGATTTCGTAAATCTCAAGAACTTGACTCATCTCTATCTACAACATAATCGCCTCTCGGGTCCTTTACCGGTGATTCTCTCGGAGTTGAAGAATCTTAAGGTTCTTGATCTGTCTAACAATGGATTCAACGGAAGCATCCCAAAGTCTCTTTCAGGTTTGACCAGCCTTCGAGTCTTGAATTTTGCAAACAATTCATTCTCAGGGGAAATTCCTGATCTTGATCTTCCAAAACTGATTCAAATCAACTTGTCCAACAACAAGCTCATCGGTACAATACCGAAATCTCTTCAAAGATTCCAAAGTTCAGCCTTTTCTGGCAACAAACTTACCGAGAGGAAGAAACAAAACAAGACTCCTTTCGGGTTAAGCCAGCTTGCTTTCTTGCTGATTCTAGCTGCAGCTTGCATTTTGTGTGTTTCCGGATTTTCCTTTATAATGATCACTTGTTTCGGGAAGACTAGAATCTCGGGGAAGTTGCGGAAGAGAGACTCGTCTTCTCCTCCAGTAAACTGGACATCTAGAGATGGTAACAACACCGAAGAAGGCGGGAAGATCATCTTCTTTGGGGGAAGAAACCACTTATTTGATTTAGATGATTTGCTAAGCTCATCTGCAGAAGTTTTGGGCAAGGGTGCTTTTGGTACAACCTATAAGGTATCAATGGAGGACATGAGCACGGTTGTAGTGAAGCGACTGAAGGAAGTCGTCGTGGGAAGACGAGAGTTTGAGCAACAAATGGAGGTCATTGGTATGACCAGACATGAAAATGTAGCTGAGCTTAAGGCTTACTACTACTCCAAAGACGATAAGCTCGCGGTTTATAGCTATTATAGTCATGGAAGCCTCTTCGAGATGCTGCACGGTTAGTTACTCGTTACTATAATTGCTCTCATTCCGATGATAAATCTAAAACAACATGATTTTCTTTGCAGGAAACAGAGGAAGGTATCATCGAGTACCGTTAGATTGGGATGCTAGATTGAGAATAGCAACCGGGGCAGCGAGAGGACTAGCTAAAATCCACGAAGGGAACAACGGGAAATTCATCCATGGAAACATCAAATCCTCAAACATCTTCTTAGACTCAAAATGCTATGGCTGCATCGGCGAAATTGGCTTGACGACAATCATGAGATCTCTTCCTCAAACCACTTGCCTTACTTCGGGTTACCACGCACCTGAAATAACAGACACAAGAAGAAGCACACAGTTTTCGGATGTATACAGCTTCGGAGTGGTATTACTCGAGCTCTTGACAGGGAAATCGCCGGTGAGTCAAGCGGATTCGTTAACAACAGAAGGTGAAAACATGGATTTAGCAAGCTGGATAAGATCAGTGGTGACTAAAGAGTGGACCGGAGAAGTATTTGATATGGAGATATTGAGTCAATCTGGTGGTTTCGAGGAAGAAATGGTTGAGATGTTACAAATAGGATTGGCTTGTGTTGCTCTGAAGCAACAAGAACGACCTCATATAGCTCAAGTTTTGAAATTGATTGAAGATATTCGATCAATTGATGCAGAGTCAGAGAATACAAAGTAGTAGTAGTAGTAGCCATTAAAGCAATTCTTTTTTTCTTCATTGACTTCGAAAGTGAATGCTATTGAGTGATTGTTTCAGAGCAGATTATTGCAAAAAGAATGAAACTTTGAATTATAGAATCAGAAACAAATATAAATCCATTTTATAAATCGAAGAAAACAGAACAAATTTGGGGAAAAAATAAATAAAAGCATCTAAAGAAACATTACGAAGATCCGAATTGGAGGATTAAACGGGACTGAGGAGTTGAAAAAGATCAGGTTTAGGATCGGAATTCATGCCGATGATGATGATCAGAGGGATGAAACCATAGTGAGTCGCGACTTTGGCTTTCTCCAATGACCAGTTGGTCCAAGCCTTGAAGACCTTGTACTTTGATGATGCAGAGGAGGAAGAAGAAGATGATGATGATCCCTTTGATGATCCTTTTCCTTTGCCTTTGATCTTCAACGAAGCTTTAGCCGCCATTGATTCTAATCTCAGAGCTCTCTCTCTTTCTGCGTATCTCTGTGTCAGAGTAGATTTTGCTCGAAGACAAAACCCTAAGGGTTTAAGCCCCTTTTTAAAGTCTGTATGAGAAACTCTATCTGAATCAGAGGGTCCTTTATTTTTCATTAAAAAATTAAAAAATATCTAATCCAATAATTATTCTCTCGCTCGCTGGAAAATAGCTGTCATTATTTTATTTTGAAGCATAAATAAATCGCAATATTTGTTCTTTAGGTCTCAAAGGCTCTCTCTGTCTCTGTCTCAAAAATCTGCAGGAAGTGAATCGTCAAACCGAGTTTGGAGGATCTGTCTTTGAGGTAAAAAGCTCTCTCCTTTCGTCTGGAATTTTCTTTGTTGGATTATCTTTTTCGTTTGTTGAATCGATCTAGGGTTTGTTTTTTTGGATCTAGGAGTTTTTGTTGAGAAATGGCTTCGAAACGGATCTTGAAAGAGCTCAAGGATCTTCAGAAGGATCCTCCAACTTCCTGCAGTGCTGGTTAGACTCTAGCTCTTCTTTCGTGTTTGATCTATTTTTGAGCTTTGTTGTTAGATCTTATAATCTCATATTAAGCAAACAAAAAATGAAATCTTTTTTAGTCTTCTTAGTCACATAACGTAGTTATCTAGAGATCTTGAAGAGGTAATTGCAGCTACGTAATAATCATAGTTTAGATGATACTAATTGAAAGTTGAGATTTTTCTGAGAACAGAACAAACTTATGGATTCTTGTGATCATAATTAATAAGATAACAGTTAGAAGTTGAGATTTTTCTTAGAACAAAGATTTTGGTGTTGCAGCTATCTTATGATCATTGTCAAGGAGATAGCAATTGAAAGTTGTGATTTTTCTTAGAATTAAGCTTTTTGTGTTGCATCCTGCCTTGTTTATCCAAGTATCCATAACAGATATTACAGACTTGCTCCTTGCAGTGAGGTCTGGACCTTCTTTGCTATTTACCGTAACACCATTTTAGATCAGGAAAAAAGAACGCTCTTTCTTGTTCCCAAGTTTTTTGAGAAGAGAGCTGTTTAGTCTTTGTTAATTATCTATTGCATTTGGGTGTTATACGAGTTTCTTTTGTTTATTAAAATGTCAAAGTGTATAAGGAGTCGATATTGTTGGTCTCAATAGAGTCAGAGGATTGTTGTAGGCGATTCTCAAAGTACTCATGCATTCTTCTGCTAGAGAACTCTCAGGACATTGCTATGGCACATTCTTTATGTTTTGTTTTGTGTATTTCAGTTAATGCCATAAAATATGTGTGAATAAAAGACTAAACTTTCTATTTTTTCTTCTATGATCTATTGTGAAATCTTGAAGGCCCAGTTGCTGAAGACATGTTTCATTGGCAAGCTACAATAATGGGTCCATCCGATAGTCCATATTCAGGCGGAGTCTTTCTCGTAACCATTCACTTCCCTCCGGATTATCCGTTCAAACCACCTAAGGTAAAATTCATTTTTACTGAACTAAAATCATGAAAGCGGTTCTATTGGAATTCAAATGCCCTTTTTTCTTGAAGGTTGCATTTAGGACAAAAGTGTTTCACCCTAATGTCAACAGCAATGGAAGCATTTGCCTCGACATTTTGAAAGAACAGTGGAGTCCTGCACTCACCATATCTAAGGTGAAAAAACACTCTTTTACCATTAGCAATGGCGATATATAATGAATGTACTCTGACTTTAATCCAATCTATTGTGAATTTATAGGTGTTGCTTTCGATATGTTCATTGTTAACGGACCCAAACCCAGATGATCCATTGGTTCCAGAGATTGCTCACATGTACAAAACCGATAGAGCTAAGTATGAGTCTACTGCGAGAAGCTGGACTCAGAAATATGCAATGGGATAAAGTTGATCCCTCAAAGACTCGGTTTTAATAGAGAGAGAGAAAGAGAGAGGACTTCTTCACATAGGATCTTCCATGAAATAAGTTAGATTCCTATGTTTTATCTCTTTGTTTGAAATCTCTTTAATGTCAAACAAAAATATTCCTTCTCCTCTTTATCCCTTTGTTTCCTATCTTTGTTTTCTATGCAATTACAAAAAAATTATAATAAAAATATTTATGTAAAGCTGGAAACTTTACATAATAAGTATGAAGATGATGAAAGAGGATTAAATGGGAATATTTGTAACCAAACTTTCAAATTTCCATGTTTGAGAAAATAATGAAATAAAACCATTTTCGCAGAAAAATAAAATAAAAATTGAATGATTTTGAAGATGTTGATTAACATAATAATTCGTAATTTACCCTTTTATGAAATGCAAAGTGAAAACATAAGTCCTATATTATATTACGAGCGATGAATTGTAGATATATTGGTTGGAAAAAGGATTATGATAAGTGACTTTTTGCATCTTTTTGTTTTATTTTTTCAATTTCTTAATCCTTTTCACCTAACTATAGTTGTCTTAGTTGTTAAATTTTGAGATTTGTATGAAATCTGAATTTTATTTTAGTTCCAAGTTACAACTATGCAGATTTCACTAAACGTAACGTTTACAAATGTAATCGTTAAGCAAAGGATAAAAATTGTAAACGACTGCGGATTAACCAATTAAATTTTCTAATAGTTGTAACTATTTTTAAATTAAAATAAATCCACGTATTACAAGAACCCAAATCTAGTATTTCTATAAATTTCTAAAACTTTATATGGAAAAGTGAAAAGTGATTTAGACTTACTTTTAGGCTATATTTACATAAACACTAATTACGTTCGTTACGCAATACCATAAAATAGGAATCCTTAATTATCCTGTAAATACCTAAAGAAATCCTCTTAGAAAACAATAGGAATCCTACAATTTGCTAAAGAGGATTCCTTGACAGAAAGAAAGTGTCAACCTTAAGGATTGCATAGTATCTAATCAAACAACTATAAATGAAGATCGTAGCATTGTTGCTTATCGCATTCGTCATACTCTTGGTATCATTTCCTCCTCAGACAAAAGCTAACTATGCCAGCAGCAGTAGTTCCAAGAGGGATGGAGAACAATGTGTTACAACCCCGCAAAAATCAATGGCGCTTGGTCTTTGCTTCGACGGTATTGCTCGTGGAATGAAGCTGCCGACTTCATGTTGTGAGAGAATGAATGAGCAAAGATCATGTTTGTGTGATGCAATTAAAGATCGCGGTGTCACGCTTGCTAGCAATGTCCTTAGCTCTCATCTCAAGTCTTGTGGTATTCCTGACCCCAAATGTTGAAAATGATAACATTGTGGTGCGAACACGGAACCATACCGAAGATGATATGTTGAGTAGTCTTTGACTCTTTCTTATCTTCAGTTTTTATACAATATTAAGTAATGGCCAATAACGGAGAAGTGGTCTTCTAGTGTTTTACAGTTACTAGGAACATTTTCTCCACCTTTATCATTTCCCTTGTTTATAAGGGATCAATGATTCGATATTTGTATTAATTTAAAAAATAACGTCAAATCAAAGAATAAAGGTAGACTTTATCTACCATTGAAATCTTGAGTTCTTATTCAGTTGATTTGATTGAGACCACCAACATAATATAGCACATATGTTAATGCCATGGTTTTTATATGGTTAAGTAAAATCATATGCTCTTTGAATGTCCACCAGCTTTACAAGGTTGAATGTCCTCTTGTAACCCTCCAACTCGCTGTACATGAGGCATATGATTAAAAGCTTGGACATGAGACTCCTTAGGTGGAAGATAAGTTTTTGTAATTAGTATTTCTATAAATTTCTAAAGCTTATATGGAAAAGTGATTTGGCCTTTCTTTTAGGCTATATTTACATAACAACTAATTATGTGCATGGTGATTAACACACAGTAAACACGTTCATTACGCAATACCATACAACTAGAATCCTTAATTATCAAATAAATACCTAATCAAATTCCCATTAACTTCTTAGAAAACAAAAGGTATCCAAACAATTTGCCATAGATATTTCTAAACTAACAACTATATACATGAAGACCGTCGGATTGTTGCTTATCACATTCGCCATACTATTGGCATCATTACCTCTTCCGACAAAAGCTATCCGTGCTGGCGGAAGTAGATCCAAGAGGGATGGAGAATCATGTGATGAAAGTAAGATTCAAATTTGCTTGGACGTTGTTAATAGTGGATTAAAGATATCGACTGAATGTTGTAAAATTTTGAAAGATCAACAACCATGTCTGTGTGATGTAACTAAAACCAGTAAGATCAAGACCGATGTCCTCAGCTCTCGTCTCAAGTCTTGTGGTATTCTTAACCTAAGATGTGGAAATAATTAACAACAATATCAACATGATGCGAACAAGGAACCCCCTGGTTCGAGACACCAAACCGAAGATACGTTGAGCAGAGAGTCGATCACCTTCAAGCTCATAGACAAAGAGATCAAGAACACAATAACTTCAAGAAGACACAAACGTCATTTTGGAAACTTAATGACACGTTGGCTGCGGTAATCTCCCAAGATTACCTCGGTTTTTTTTTATGTATCCTTGTTTTTTAATTCTTTTTTTGGACAAGGCTACAATGTTTTAGGTTAAGCTTTCTTGTGTAACCTAAACTTTTCATTTTGATTAATGATACTTACATTCATATCAAATATATATATATATATATATATATATAGCTACTTAAACAATAAAAATCTAAAAAATAAAGACATAATTAATTTACCATTGAAATCTTGTGTTCTTATAATTTAATTTACGTCTACATTAGTATAACATTGTTCTTATAAAAAGTAATTTATCTTTATCTTTTAACCATATAAAAATTGTTAAGTGTAATAAAATGCAATAAAAACTTTAAAATGACATTTTATAAAAATTTATCCAATAATTAATTTCCCAACCATAACTATTCCTAAGTCTTTTAAAAAGAAAAAAAAAAAACTATGTATAACAATTCCCAAAAAAATCATTCATCTCAAATATTCTTGAACGTGACAAAGCTTGGAACATTTCATCATAGCCCAAGTCAGCAAGCAACAAATCAACTTTCCTCGCTGGAGCTAGACAATTTAAAACGAACGGCCATGATTTGTCGATCTTACTCATATGGTTGGATTAAACTAGAAGTTGATGTTGAGCCATAAAACTTAGCGGATTGCTCATTTATTAATGGGCTTTCTAATTTTTCGGCCCAACCGTTTTTGTGTTTCTTTCTATACTTTTTTTATTTACTTTGTTACACTCTGTAATTAATTTGAAAAAACTGTACATACATATTTGTGGGGAAATGAAAAGGCTCTTCAGTTGTCTTCATCGGTAACCACATCGCCTGAGAATTTATTTTCGTTTTCTTCAAAATCTAAGCTTCATTGCGACAGCTAGTTCGAGAATCTCTCACTTCTTTGAATCGTAGGTAGGGCTTTACAAGTTTTAATTTGAGTATCACTATTTAGGGTTTTTTTTTTTTTTTTTTGAATGGGTCTATCTAATTCTGTTGCTAAGAAGAGCCTAGCTTTATGCTTCTGTCTTGCTCTCTAATTAGAGCTATATAGTTTTTTTTTTTAGTTACACATCGAGAATCAGAAACACGGGTTTTGCATGTTAGGTATTTAATTCCAAAAAAAAATCACATTTTAGTACTTTGAATACTTGGAGAATTTAATGAAGCATTGAGTAAACATCTCAACTTCTTTCAAAGAGATTTACCTTCTACATTTGCATTCTCTGTAGGGTTGTTGTGCTCATGGATGATATAGAGATTCCGGTGTCCTGTTACTGGAATGGATGTATAAAGAATGGCCCTCATGGCATATACTATGAAGGATCAGCATTGGCTCCTAAAGTGATCAAAGTTAAGCGTAACACTGACTTAATCGGATTGTTGGATATGCTGTATCTAAGTACTGGATTGGATAAGCATAGATCAAAGCTTGATATAATCGGGCGGTACCCTTCAGTTGTTCGACAATCTATGGTTAGGTATGTACGTCTGCCCTTGGTAAACGACAGAAGATTGAAGATTATGCTTGAGGTTCCACTAGTTCATCCTTCTATAAGCAATGTGGAATTGTATTTGGAAGTGAAAGAGACCTCTTCGCCATGGGAAAATCGGGGTAACTCCTCGAAAAGACAGAAGACTCATCAACCCTCTTGTCAAGAAAAAGCTAGTGGTAATGTAGATGCAAGCGCAATAAATCCACCTGGTAAATTGGAGGGAGATGGAGTGGAAAATGGTAGCACTCTAAATGTGCCGGGATTAGAGGTGTTGGCAAATGCATGCTTGAATAAAGATGCGGATTCTGGTGTCTCAAAACCGTGGCGTTTGTCGAGTTTGTGGTTTGATGATCATGAGTTGCACGTAGGCCAATTTTTTAAAGATAGAGATGAGCTGAAGAAAGCTGTGGATTGGTGTTCTATTAGAGGGCGGCACTATTTCACTGTTCAAGGGATCGAGAAGGACGTGTATGTGTTTGAGTGCGTAAGATGGAAATGCAAGTGGTCTCTTTGGGCAGCTAGAGTGCAAGAACATGGACTTGTTGAGATAATCAAGTATACTGGACTACATACTTGTTTTCTAGAAGATCCAGGAGATTTTAAGTTGGAGTTTGCAGCAGATGAGATTGAACGTGCGGTTAGGGTAGAGCCTACACTATCAGCTGCAGAGTTGAAGAAGTGGTTGAATGAAAAAACTGGATATAAGATCAAAATTCCGGAGATAGAGGATGTGAAAGTGGAAGCGATAAAAAAAATCTTTGGAGACTGGGATCAGAGTTTCAGAGTCATGCCCAAGTTAATGGCTGCGTTTCACTCATCTAATGGGCTGCTTGTGGACTGGCAATATGATATTTATCCTAATCCTGAATTTGCATCCTTCCGCGGCGTGTTTTGGGCATTTTCACAGTCTATTGAAGGGTTTACACATTGCAGACCTCTGATCGTAGTAGACACCAAAGACTTAAACGGTAAGTACCCTATGAAGTTGATGACTGCCTCGGGAGTAGATGCAGCCAACAACTATTTCCCACTTGCATTTGCTGTTACTAAAGAAGTGTCCACTGAGAGTTGGCGTTGGTTTCTCACTGGGATCAGAGAAAAGGTAACACAAAGGAAAGATCTTTGCCTCATCTGTAGTCCTCACCCGGATATACTCGCTGTTATAAACGAACCCGGGTCTCTGTGGCAAGAACCTTGGGCTTATAACAGGTTCTGTCTGGATCATCTGAGCACCCAATTCTTTGACGTGTTCAAAAACTCCCGCCTGAAGAGCCTTATGATACTAGCTGCATTGGCGAATCAGCAGGATGAATTCGATTCCCTCATGGGTATTGAGATTGATGAGAGTTTAGGATTGGAAGAATAGTATATTGACTCTCATAATGATAAAGGTTATGATACATATGTTTATATAGAGAGGAGAATGATAAACCTAATTAATCTAGTTTACTAATATACACAAATACATAAATGAGATAATTATTAGAAATATATTCAAAGATATTCTAGATTATTCTATATCCTTCTATACGCCCCCTCAAACTCAAGGCGGTGATGGAGAGATAGCGGAATCAACGGTTTGAGGTTGACCGTTAATGTGAAGTGGTGACGGTGGAGATCGAGAGCGGTTGGTGGAAGCCATGGAAGGTGTTTAACCTTGTGTCGAGAAAAACAAACGAAGGCTTCTGCCTTTTTTTTTTTTGTGCTTTTTTTTTTTTTTTTTGATAAATCTAAAATCAAAGATATTTTGAAGAATTTTTATTTTTTTTTTGTTTTTTTTTTAATAAAATAAAAACAAAGATATTTTGAAGAATGTTAAACGAAATTATTTGTTTTTTTTTTTGATAAGAATAAAAGAATAATAATAAAAATTGATAAATATTTAAATTTGAAAACGGAAGCACTAAGGCTTATGAAGCTTAATGGCTTAAGAAAAATGAAAATAACCAGATTTTTTTTTTTTTTTTTAATTGCACAAAAAAATAATTAAAAGAAGCACTTTGGCTTGATTTTCGAAGCACTTAGGCTTGATTCAGAGGTCTATGGTTAGACTTGAATGATTAGAAGCATTTTTGCTTAGATTCAGAGGTTCATGATGAACTTGAATGTTGGAAGCACTTGGCTTAAACACAAAAATAAAAAGAAGAAGCTCTTGGCTTAGATTCAGGAACGGAGCCGATCGTTAGATCATTGTGGCTCTGATACCATATTGAGATTGATGAGAGTTTAGGATTGGAAGAATAGTATATTGACTCTCATAATGATAAAGGTTATGATACATATGTTTATATAGAGAGGAGAATGATAAACCTAATTAATCTAGTTTACTAATATACACAAATACATAAATGAGATAATTATTAGAAATATATTCAAAGATATTCTAGATTATTCTATATCCTTCTATACGCCCCCTCAAACTCAAGGCGGTGATGGAGAGATAGCGGAATCAACGGTTTGAGGTTGACCGTTAATGTGAAGTGGTGACGGTGGAGATCGAGAGCGGTTGGTGGAAGCCATGGAAGGTGTTTAACCTTG